CATGGAGCGAGACCTCTTCGCTCCTGAGAGATCTAGAGTGCTCCCACCTTACAGCCAACTCCCGAGGCGAATAGGCAGTATACCGGCGCCCGGCGCCGCGCTCGGCGCAGGTGAAGCTGTGTCTTCACCGAGCGCAGAACTGGCTCCATTACCACGCCGGAGCCTAGCCTCGCGGAGACGTACACCTCCTGAGATAGAACAAGACCAGCTGCAAGAGGAGAAAAGGCTGAGAGCCGGATCAGACTCACTATCTGATTCGGCATCGCCTTCTGCCTCTGCCACACCACCTGAGATACAAGCCCCACAACCTGTGGTAAGACATAACAGACCGCCTAACTCACCGTCTCCAACCACCTCTCCGGCCTGCACCGCTGACATGCAGGATTTCGGGGAGGAAGACCCGGAAGGAGAGAGAGAGTGGGACAATACGTCCTACGCCACTCTAGCCCCAATTCAAGACTCCCAACCTGCAAACCAGGAGCCCATACCTGGTCCATCTTCAGCGCCGGACTCTTATGCGCAAATTGCAGCAGCGCCAAGGTCAGCGCCACCATCACCTCCACCACCACCTGCACAGAAAGAACAACAGCCAGCAAATAACCAGGCCAAATACCCTCCTATTATAGTGGAGTGCTTCCCCAACTGGGCGAAGCACTTCAAAATCATACATCAACTTTTGGGTCACGCCCCCAATGCTCGCCCGTTTGGGAAGGGAGTCCGTTTTCGGCCCCAGTCCGACGACGAGTATCGGAAGGTCCAGCGCTACCTCATCGATAAAAGCAAGGAGGATGCCACCTTCGTGTGGTATTGCTACGCCCCACAGGAGGAGCAACCCACGAAGGTGGGGTTAAGAGGGCTCCCTGCAGATACCGACCCTAAAGACATACAGGAGGCCCTCATAGAGAAGGGCTTTCCAGTTACATTTGTACGGTCAATTCCACCAAAAAGAGGCAGGCCTGGCTGCCTGTTTCACGTGAAAATGAGTCACCTAAGCCCCGAAGAGCTCAACAGATTATACCAAATTGATGAGCTCCTTTACATGCCGGGAATAACAATCGAAGGCTGGACAGGCAGAATTGGCCCTGCGCAGTGTCACAGGTGTCAAGGGTTCGGACACGCATCCTACAACTGCTACCGACCCTTCAAATGTGTACGCTGTGCAGGTGACCACCTGGCCTCAGCATGCCCACAACCGCGGGATGCGCAACCTAAATGCGCAAACTGCGGGAAAGATCACTCGGCGAATGACAGGCGGTGCCCAGTGTTGCAGCGAATTGCAAGGAAGAGGGGGATTAATATGCAACCCCCTATCCCCGCGCAAACAACACGAGCACCGCAACGTCAACCACCCCCACTACAAAGCCAACCACCTGCACCGCATTGGCAACCTCCACCACCTCAAAAACCTCAGTACTACCCACCCCAACAGCAGCAATATTCACAGCAGCAACACCTGCAAAGGCAGGAACCGCAACCGCAACAGCGGCAGGTAACAATCACACCTGCACCAACCACATTTGTTACGACCGGGGCGACTTTAGCACCACCGGCGAATAACGCCACGGAGCGCACAGAGCGCCCAAAGAAAAAGAGAGGAAAGAAGAAGAAGAAGAAGAAGGCAACCACCCAACCAGCTCAAGTGGGTGGTACTTCGACTCCTCTTCCTCCACTCGCCACTACCACACAACAACAGCAATCACTGCCACAACCGCGGTATACATTCCCTCCATCAAATCAGAACGAGCAATCTGCACTCCAACCCCGAGATCAACGCCCACCCAAAAAGACAATAACTGTCGCTCCCCCATTACAGCCCCAGGCACCAACCACCATCGAGGAGGCCCTCGCTCAACTGGTGGGCGTGGTAATCAGGATCTTAGGAGAGGTCCTGACTGCCATGACCACCGGCACCAACCCCCTTTCGGCCATCCTAACGGCCTTAGCCCAGTTAACCTCCGTCAGCAGGCCATCCACTTAGGATGTGTTATTGGAACCCCGGCGGCATCTTAGGGAAGGTCGCCGACCTGAGAACCCTGGTCCAGCAGCACAATATCCAAATTGTGCTACTGGGGGAGACCAAACTGCGCCCCTCTGCTCAATTAAAACTCCCCAACTTCTTTGTGTACCGACATGACGAGATCTCCTCAGAAGGTATCGCGTACAGAGGTACTGCGGTCCTTGTGAGGAGGGACGTCATGCACGAAGAAGTTGGCACCAATACACAGTTTATATCCACCAGAACCAAGGGTGTAAGGCTGAGGGTAGGCACCAGAGAAATTAGAATCTTTGCTGCCTACAGACCTCCCGGCACCTCACTTGCCCCCCAAGACATACGTACCATATTTGACTCCACGACACCTGCAATTATCGCCGGAGACCTCAACGCGAAACATCCCGCTTGGGGCTCCGCGCTGATCACACCACCCGGCAGGAAACTGTTCGACGACGCCGAGGAGTGGGGGTACGAGGTGCTGGGCCCTGATGAGCCCACCCATATCCCGACAAAGCCAGAACATAAGCCCGATGTTCTTGACATTGTGCTGTGTCATCTAGTGCCGTATACAACACGGTTAGAAGTGTTGTATGACATAGATACACAACACCTCCCCGTGCTGATTACTATCGACACCAGTGCGGATGCCATGGTGCCCAGAAGTCTCCGAATGAAGACAAATTGGACCCGCTTTCGTAGTGCGCTGGAGGACTTCCAACCTTGCGCCCCAATTACCACCAGTGAAGATGTGGAGACTGCGGCCCTACATCTTCACAACACTATAAAAGATAAACTCCAACTCCACTCTCACCCTGTCTCCACGGGGCGCGGGAAGGAGGGACTCCCACGCAATCTCCAAACGCTCCTGTCCGAGAAGCGGAAGATGAGGAGACTCTGGGCACGGACACGATGCCCACGAATAAAAACTAAACTAAACACTATGACGGAAGAGCTGTCGGAAGCAATGAGAGCTTACAGGGGAGAAGCATGGGAGAGGCGAGTCGACGAAGCCTCGGAGACACCCGCCTCCCTGCATCTCCTCAACCGGCAGCTCACCAAGACACCACCACCTGTCTGCCCACTGGTGGACAGCACGGGGAGTAGGATTTACGACGCCCAACCCAGAGCGGACTTGATGGCACAGCACCTAGAACAACAGTTCATACCCAACAGCATAGCAGAGGGGTACGCAGACCACGTACAAGGCATAGAGGACCGCGTACGGGAATACCTCTCTAACCCGGCGCCGCCATTGCGAGGCGGCGATTTCATATCCCCAGCAGAGGTAAGGCGCACTATTATGCGCCTACCTAGCCGTAAAGCGCCGGGTTACGACGGCATCACCACCACAGCCATAAAGCAGCTGCCCAGAAGGGTAATAGTGGCACTCACCAGTCTGTACAATGGCATCCTACGGACTGGCCACTTCCCGACCATCTGGAAGCAGGGCAGAATCATCGTGCTGCCGAAGCCGGGAAAAGACAGGAGGTTCCCGGCCAGCTACCGCCCCATAACGCTATTGCCGCACATAGCAAAACTTTTTGAAAAAATTACCCTGAACAGGGTTCTCCCACATGTTACCCTGCGTGAGGAGCAATTTGGCTTCCGCAGGGGACATTCCACAACCTCTCAGCTGGCCCGCGTGCTGCACTATCTTGCGGCCGAATATAACTTCGGCCGCATCTGTGTGGGGGTCCTTCTCGACATGGAGAAGGCCTTCGACAGGGTGTGGCACGCAGGGCTAGTTTATAAACTCATTCAGCACACCACTTTACCGCCCATGCTTGTGCGGTTAATAGCGTCATTCCTGGAGGGGCGGAGCTTCCATGTCTCCTTGGAAGGGGCTGTTTCGGCGGCACGACCGATTTCTGCGGGAGTGCCACAGGGCAGCTGCCTATCACCGCACCTGTACGCGGTCTACACCAACGACATCCCCACCCTCCAAGGCCATCTGGAGGAATGGGAGGATGACGTTGTCCTAGCCTTGTACGCCGACGACAGTGCGTACTTCGCGTCATCACGTCGGGTGGACATAGCTGCTAAGAAATTGCAGCGGGTACTCGACCTCTTGCCTGAGTGGCTGGACAAATGGAGGCTGGCGGTCAATGTCGGGAAGACCGTCGCCTTCATGACCAGGCTGGCCAGAACACCACCAACTCTGCAACTCCGCGGGCAGGATGTGGGTTGGAGTAGTACCATTACGTACCTAGGATGCCAGATAGATCGCTCGCTGCGCATGACCCCGATGGTCAATCACGTTGTGAGACAGGCCAGAGCGGCGCGAGCGAAACTATACCCTATACTGGCATCCAAACTCCCAACAAGAACGAAAATAGGTATCTACAAAACCTACATCCGCTCGCGGCTGACCTACGCAGCACCAGCCTGGTACGCGTTGACCTCGGCCACTCAGCGCAAGAGGTTGCAGGCCCAGCAAAATCTTGCGCTCCGGGTGATCGTGGGAGCCGGTCGCTACGTCAGGAATGACATCATTTCTCGCGACCTCAAGGTCGAAACCATCCATGATTTTGTGGTCCGTTCTGCGAGACGGTTGTTCGACCGCGCAGACAACGGGCCACACCTTCACCTTCAAAATCTTGCTCCCCTCCACGCCCGCCCACCTGACGGGCGACCACTCCCACGTGAACTTCTACGCTCACTGCCCGGCACAGGGGACGCCGGGGGTGAGTGAGCGTCCCGACACTCGACGTGATGGCGCGAGGTGCGCAATACACCTACATATAAGCTGCCAGCGCAGCACCCAAGACCGGGGGGTCGTGTCCTCCTGAGATGCCGCCCATGTAAAGAGGGTCTCCTCGACACATGAAAACCTCCACAAGGAGATGAACCACCACTGTCGCCACCTGTGTATTATCCTACGTAATATCAATTTGTGTACGATATATAACAACAATTTACAATTTTCCTTTGTTATTATCATCTATCGCGAGTTGTGTGAGTCAGTGTTTGTAGTTCGTTTGTGATCTAATACTACTACTACGAAGTAATGGCAGATACAGCAGTAGCTTCCGAAACTCCCGCTCCGGCGACTCCGGCGAAAAAACCGAAGGCCGCCGCTACTGCAGCAGGTGGTGCAAAGAAGCCCAAGGCGAAACCCACTCATCCGAAGACTTCCGAAATGGTCACCAGCGCAATTAAAGAGCTGAAAGAGCGCAGTGGATCATCTTTGCAAGCGATAAAAAAATATATTGCCGCTCAATATAAAGTCGACGCTGAAAAACTAGCTCCGTTCATCAGAAAGTACCTGAAGAGCGCAGTCGAATCGGGTGCGCTTATACAGACAAAGGGCAAGGGGGCTTCCGGTTCCTTTAAGCTTGAATCAAAATCGTCCGCCTCTAAGAAACCGTCGACGGGTAAGAGCAGCGGTGGCGCAAAGAGCGGCGTGTCCGCCGCTAGCTCGGTGTCGGCGAAGGTGAAGAAGAGCACCGCCGCGGGTAAGGGTAAAAAGACAGCATCGGCAGCGACCGCATCATCACCGTCTAAGGCAAAACCGTCTGCAGCTACCAAGGACAAGAAGGCGGCCGCCGCGAAAAAGAAGCCGGCAGCCGCAAGAAAATCCGCAACCGCTGGCCAAAGCGGCGTTTCTAAGGCGAAAGGCGCCGCTTCGAAGGCGAAAAAGAGCGCCAAACCACCGACAAAGAAACCTAAGGCTCCAAAACCGAAGAAGGCGGCAACACCCAAATCGAAGCCTTCCGCGGCGGCATCGAAGAAGGCAGCCGCTTCTAAAAAGTAAGGTCCGCTGTCACCGCCTTCCGTCGTCATAACCACCGCCGCCGTACCTACCTACGTACGTACTCGTACGCGTAATTGTCACGCGCGTATGTGATTGTGTAGTGCATGCAGGCTGATGCTGCTGAGAGACAGGTAGGTAGGTAGGTAGGTAGGTAGGTAGGTAGGTAGGAAGGCAAGCAGGCAGGCAGAGTGACAGCAAGACGGGACGGACGGGACGGGAGAAGGATCCTCGCGGGTGAACGCGAGTGCCTCGTAGCGCCGCGGCATCGGGCCTATTTATTTTTATTTTATTCTTATAAATAATACCTATAAAAATAAATGGTGTACGTGTGTCGCGTCGTATACGAATATGCGCGAGCGACCGCAATGCTAAAAAGCCCTTTTCAGGGCTAACAAAAATTTCCTATGAGTTTCTTATACGTCACGCGTCAATCATAATGATTGCCTTATTATATATATTACCTACCTATATTATATATATCGCACCGTCCCTCACTTCAATCAAATCAGTCTGTCAGGCAGTTCTATATAATATAATATAAAATATTATGTAATTATGTAAACATTGCAACGAAATAACGAACGCACAACTTATGAACGCACGATAACGATTTAACTAAGTAGGTATATAAATTCGAATAAGCTAAATACACGTATATTAAAACAATAAACGTAGATGCGTCGTAAATGCGTTACAACAATTTACGAAACACTAAATACCTCTATATATATATATATATATATATATATATATATATATATATATATACACACACCACCTACTCAACGAATTCAACGTACTACGTTCACACTTTTAAAAAAATTTTAATAGGTGCCTAGGTAAAATAGATAACACAACCGAATCGAATCGAACCGAACCGACCGACCGACCGACCGACCGACCGACCGACGCGACGCGACGCGACGCGACGTGACGCGACGCGACGCGACGAGACCCTACACGAACGTAACACGTATAATATTATGTATATAAATAATATTATCACTTTCACACTCCCTAATTTTCTTGTTACAGTTTTTCGTTTTTCTTCCTCTTCGACGACGATATATTATACTATTCTATTCTAACGCGTTATATCCTATTGCTGCTACCTAGTATTCTTCTTTTTTTCTTCTTTACAAGTACATTCGTTTCGCCCTCGCCCGACTGCCCGACTCCCAACTCCCAACTCCCAACTCCCAACTCTGACTTGAGATTTTCCAACTAACTAAAAGTCTGACCGGACCGACCGCGCAAACGTGTTGCGTTCGCGATCCCCACCCCACCTAGTGGCGAATCGATGCTGGCTATATAAAGGAACGTCGCGAGTTTAAAAAAATTAGATTAGATTAGAGAGTGAGATTCGGTTGTCTGCGCTCAAGCCGCGCGGACGTATTCTTCGGTCGAGCCCATGCGCTCCCGAATTACCAAGTTGCAATTGTGCGAAAAAAAAGACAATAAAAGGATTAAGTGCTCGAAGTGCTTCAGTGGTGTTGTGCGTCATTGCCGCCGTCAGGTTGCATCGGCCCGCCGGCCCATTGTTCTATTGTGTTAGGGATTAGTGTAGTGCCCCACGCTCTGCCAATTTCCAGTAAAAACTGTAAGTAGTTTATTACACACCGCCGTGCCGCCTCAGAGGCGGCTATTATATTGTTATTGTATTAATCTCTGTGTTCGCTTGTCGCATTAGGCGACAGCTAGGTACACACCCTAACGTACCAACGCGTTAGGTATATAGGTGTTCGTTTAAGCACACACCTCCCCCGCCGTGAGGTGGGGGAGCTTGGTACACAAGTGTTTTCTTAAAAACAAGACAAGATGGCGGCTATAACCATAGCCGAACTCGCCGACTTTTTCAGTCGTGCGTGCCCCGACGTTTGGGCGACCTTTCTAGCGCAACGCCAAACGCCCGCTGCTGAACGTCCGACCGTGTTGGTGGACGACCCTATGTCGCCCAGCACCGGACCCGCGACCCCCGCGTCCGTAGAAACGCTTTATGACGTAGGATCCCCCGCGCCTTCTGCGCTCTCCACTCGTGGGCCGTCCCCGGCGTTCTCGGACGCCGAGACGGGCTCCGAAATGGAGTTCGACGTCGCGAAACCCGCCATGCCCGATGACGAAGGCTTCACCGTAGTCTCGGGCAAAAAACGTAAACGTCCCGCCGCGAAAAAGGGCGCCGAGCCTCACTCGGCCCCTTCGTCCCCGTCGTCGTCACCTAACGCCACTCCGGCTAAAAAGACCGCGCCTTCAGCGCGCCCTAAAATCGCCAAAATCGCGAACTCTGAACCTGCCGCGGTGCGCAAGGAAAAACCGCCGCCCCCGATCATCCTTCAGGATAAATCCCGATGGAGCAACCTTTCGCATTGGATTGACTCCAAAAAAATCTTCTGCCCAAAGGTCCACAATGGTGGCCAGGGCATACGCATCCACGTCTCAACGACGGATGACTTCCGCGCTTTAACTGCGCATCTCAAAGTTCAGAAACTGAGCTTCCATACTTACGCCCTTGCGGAAGAACGCAACCTCCGCGTAGTCGTTCGCGGGCTCCCTAAGGAGCTCGAAACCGAGCACATTTTAAGCGATCTTAAATCGCAGAATCTCCCGGTTAGGGAAGTGCACAGAATGCACCACCCCACCGACAAAAAAAGATACCTAGACCTTTGTCTAGTTATCTTAGACCTGTCCCCGGAAGGGAAAGAAATATACAATATTCGCCGAATCTGTAATCTCACTGGGATTACGGTAGAGGCCCCCCGTAATAGGGGCATCGTTGGTCAATGCCACCGATGCCAACTGTATGGCCACTCGGCCAAAAATTGCTATGCGAAACCTAGATGCGTTAAGTGTCTAGGTGACCACGGCACACCCGAGTGCACCCGAACGCCCGAGTCGGAAGGCCCTCCGAGCTGCGTTCTGTGCGGCGAAGCGGGACACCCAGCGAACTATCGCGGGTGTACCAAAGCGCCGCGTAGAAAGTGGCGCGGAGGCGCAAACCGGCGCGGACGAGCGGCTAGCGCTAGTAGGTCCCGTCCTAGGCAACATGCCCCATCATTAGCACCGATCTCGGTGTCTCAACCCGCGCCCCCTCAGCCTCACACCAAACCCGCCCCCGCTAAAGGGTCTTCCGGGCAAGGTGTAAGCTCATCGGTGCCTTCAGCACCCGCGTCGAACGCATGGGTTAAGCCCCCGGCGATTGTTAGCGCGGCCGCCTCACGGCCAGCGCCCTCTCTCCAGGCTCAAAAGCCCAAACTTGCCCCTCAGGCATCTTCTACCTTCGCTGCTGACTTTTCGTTAGTCTGCAGCTTCTTCAGCAATATTAATGTTGCCGAAGTGTCTTCCCTGGCCCGTAAACTACGCGAGGCCAAATCCGCTCAAGATAAGCTCAATGCCACCATTGAGCATATCAATCTCATCGACGCGATCGGTTCATTCCAATGCGCTTAAATAATAATCTCTCTAAAACAAAATGGCAGTACAACATACAGGCAGAACCAAACCTAGCTCACTGACTGTCGCGTTCTTTAACGCAAACGGCATCAGAGATCAAAAGGAAGAAATCGTGTACTTTTTACGCGATCATGATGTCGACATCATGCTAGTGCAGGAGACCTTCTTGAAACCTAGCGTGCGCGATCCCAAAATAGCTAATTATACCTTAGTAAGAAATGATAGGCTGACCGCACCTAAAGGCGGCACCTTGATCTACTACAAAAGGTCCTTGCACTGTATACCGTTAGACACTCCACCGCTTGCTAACTTAGAAGCATCGGTATGTAGAATAGCACTTACGGGCCATCCGCCCGTCATAATTGCCTCGGCATATCAGCCACCGCAAAAACCCTTATTAGAAGCCGACATCTCGGCACTACTAAATCTAGGCCCCAGCGTAGTAATCGCGGGTGACCTAAACAGTAAGCACGTTAGTTGGAACTCTAACCTAAACAATCCAAACGGAAACATATTATGCGGCCTCACGGAGAGACTTAACTTCGACGTTATCGCTCCTGAGAGCCCAACTCACTACCCATTTATAACTAGTCACCAACCGGACGTCCTTGACGTAGCTATTTTAAAAGACATCCGGCTTAACATTAACTCGATCGAAACTTTCATCGAACTATGCTCGGACCATAGGCCGATCGTATTAGAACTGGGCCGGTCGGCTGGTGAGGTCCCTCAGACCAAAACCATCGTCGACTGGCGTAAGCTCAAGGTCAAACTTGAGTCTACGAACTCCCAGCATTTAGACACAATACCGGACAAGATAGACTCGCCGGAGGAAGCCAATAGGGCGATTAGCGCCCTATCGACTCACCTCACATCAGCGGTCGAAGAGTGCTCCCGTAAGGTTCGTGTGTCGAGCGATCGGTACACAAAGCTTCCGGCAGACGTTCGACGGCTGATTAGAGCGAAAAACTCCGCGCTAAAAGCATATGACCGTTATCGCACGGAAGATAACAAAATCCGGCTACGTTCTCTGCAAAACGAGATTAAACAACGCGTTGTAGAATTTAGAAATGATAAATGGGATAACCTCTTAGAGGGATTAGAACCATCTCAAGATGCCTTTTGGAGGCTGACTAAAGCCATAAAAGCAGAGCAAATTGCTCCCATGCCGCCTCTCGTGAGGCTCGACCACCCCGATCTCGCCTTAGACGATCTCGAAAAAGCCGAATGCCTAGCCGACAGTCTAGAGAGCCAGTGTACCCCATCCAGCGTACCAACAGATCCCGCTCACCTGCTAGAGGTAGAAGCGGAAATCGAACGTAGGGCTGCGTTTCCGCCAGCGGGCGATCCACTCGATCCCGTGACTTTCGAAGAAGTCACTAAGACCATAAAAAGCCTTAAGATTAGATCAGCCCCTGGGCCAGACGGCATCAGTAACAAGGTGATCAAATCTCTTCCGGCACCGTTAATTTACCTCCTCGTAGGAATTTTCAACGCGCTTCTCTCGAGCTGCTCTTTCCCGGATATCTGGAAAGAAGCAGACGTAATAGGAATCCATAAACCGGGCAAACCGCGTAACCGACCCACCAGTTACAGGCCTATCAGCCTACTCAACACCTTAGGTAAATTATATGAGCACACTATCCTCAAGCGCCTCCGTCACTTCACGGAAACTAACAGACTCCTCCCTGACGAACAGTTTGGATTTAGAGCCAAACATTCATGTACTAACCAAATTCATCGCCTAACAGAATATATTCTGTCTGGCTTCAATCATCATCCGACAAGGAGAAAATCTCGAGGCACGGGAGCCCTCTTCTTTGATGTCGCAAAGGCATTTGATAAGGTCTGGCACGACGGCTTGCTCTACAAGCTGTATAAACTAAACGTGCCGGACAGGCTCGTACACATCATCCGAGCCTTCCTTTCAAATCGCTCTTTTCGCTATCGAGTGGAGGGAACCCGTTCTTCGAAACGCTTTCCTAAAGCCGGTGTCCCACAAGGCTCCGCCCTGTCTCCAATTCTGTTTACACTTTTTACGAGTGACATCCCTAAAGATCCAGCGGTCAACACCGCTCTCTTCGCCGACGATACGGCTCTCTTTGTATCAGAGTACAATAGGAATATTCTCACTTTAAAACTCCAAAAAGCTGCCAATCGCTTAGGCGAATGGTTCCGCCAATGGAGAATTGAAGTGAATCCCGAAAAAAGTGTAGCAATATACTTTCAACGGAATCCAAAACAGTCCGGTAATGGACCAAGAAAACGTATGAAGGTAATCACCTTATACGGCCGCCCCATCCCATGGGAATCCTCGGCCAAATATCTGGGCGTTACGTTTGACGCCAACATGAGTTTCGCGAAACACATTAGTATTGTTCGCAACAAAGCCAAGTCAGTTATTGGCCGTCTCCATCCTCTTGTGAACAGCAAGAGTAAGCTGTCTCTAAGGCACAAACTCCATTTGTACAAATCCTGCGTTAGACCTATCATGTCTTACGCAAGTGTAGCCTTTGCACACACATATAAGTCCCACCTAAACGAACTACAGAAAGTTCAAAACCTTTTCATCCGTAAAGCCACCGGTGCACGGTGGTATCAACGGAACTCTGATTTACACAGCGATTGTCAACTCCCCTGTATCTCCGAATACTTTAAGGAGATGTCCCAGCGCTACTTTGACAGCGCCGAAGCTCATCCGAACCCCCTAGTGGTAAACGCAGCCAACTACGTCCCGATACCGAACGTCGCGCCGTTTCTCCGTAGACCGCGTAATGTATTAATAGAGCAACCGCGCTCGCTCGATCCCGTCGACCCAAACGTCGCAGGCACATCACACACTGACACTACACCCACACCAATTGGGACAAACACTAATAGGACAACGGAAGGGGCGCGTCGCACCCGTAGGCGGGCTCGACGCGTTCCAACACACACCGCGTACACACCGTACACCCGCGTGCCTGGGCGGTTCTCACCGCCCAGAACATCGACCGATACGAGCTAAGCAGTCAGAGGCAGGGGTTCGCATTCCCCCCCTCGGACTGCGGTTAGATAGCTCAAAATAAACCTCTACGGAGGGGACATGATGATTGGTAACAATACCAAATCACAAACCATCATCATCCTCATCCTTATCCCAGCTACCGCCTTTCCACTTTTAAATAGCTCGCGGCCTTTCAGGCCGCGAGCCCTGCGTCCGATGAAGCTGTAAGAACCGCATAGGTTAACAGCGTTAACATCACAGAAAATAGTTAAAAAAATTAAGACGTAATAGGAATCCATAAACCGGGCAAACCGCGTAACCGACCCACCAGTTACAGGCCTATCAGCCTACTCAACACCTTAGGTAAATTATATGAGCACACTATCCTCAAGCGCCTCCGTCACTTCACGGAAACTAACAGACTCCTCCCTGACGAACAGTTTGGATTTAGAGCCAAACATTCATGTACTAACCAAATTCATCGCCTAACAGAATATATTCTGTCTGGCTTCAATCATCATCCGACAAGGAGAAAATCTCGAGGCACGGGAGCCCTCTTCTTTGATGTCGCAAAGGCTTTTGATAAGGTCTGGCACGACGGCTTGCTCTACAAGCTGTATAAACTAAACGTGCCGGACAGGCTCGTACACATCATCCGAGCCTTCCTTTCAAATCGCTCTTTTCGCTATCGAGTGGAGGGAACCCGTTCTTCGAAACGCTTTCCTAAGGCCGGTGTCCCACAAGGCTCCGCCCTGTCTCCAATTCTGTTTACACTTTTTACGAGTGACATCCCTAAAGATCCAGCGGTCAACACCGCTCTCTTCGCCGACGATACGGCTCTCTTTGTATCAGAGTACAATAGGAATATTCTCACTTTAAAACTCCAAAAAGCTGCCAATCGCTTAGGCGAATGGTTCCGCCAATGGAGAATTGAAGTGAATCCCGAAAAAAGTGTAGCAATATACTTTCAACGGAATCCAAAACAGTCCGGTAATGGACCAAGAAAACGTATGAAGGTAATTACCTTATACGGCCGCCCCATCCCATGGGAATCCTCGGCCAAATATCTGGGCGTTACGTTTGACGCCAACATGAGTTTCGCGAAACACATTAGTATTGTTCGCAACAAAGCCAAGTCAGTTATTGGCCGTCTCCATCCTCTTGTGAACAGCAAGAGTAAGCTGTCTCTAAGGCACAAACTCCATTTGTACAAATCCTGCGTTAGACCTATCATGTCTTACGCAAGTGTAGCCTTTGCACACACATATAAGTCCCACCTAAACGAACTACAGAAAGTTCAAAACCTTTTCATCCGTAAAGCCACCGGTGCACGGTGGTATCAACGGAACTCTGATTTACACAGCGATTGTCAACTCCCCTGTATCTCCGAATACTTTAAGGAGATGTCCCAGCGCTACTTTGACAGCGCCGAAGCTCATCCGAACCCCCTAGTGGTAAACGCAGCCAACTACGTCCCGATACCGAACGTCGCGCCGTTTCTCCGTAGACCGCGTAATGTATTAATAGAGCAACCGCGCTCGCTCGATCCCGTCAACCCAAACGTCGCAGGCACATCACACACTGACACTACACCCACACCAATTGGGACAAACACTAATAGGACAACGGAAGGGGCGCGTCGCACCCGTAGGCGGGCACGACGCGTTCCAACACACACCGCGTACACACCGTACACCCGCGTGCCTGGGCGGTTCTCACCGCCCAGAACATCGACCGATACGAGCTAAGCAGTCAGAGGCAGGGGTTCGCATTCCCCCCCTCGGACTGCGGTTAGATAGCTCAAAATAAACCTCTACGGAGGGGACATGATGATTGGTAACAATACCAAATCACAAACCATCATCATCCTCATCCTTATCCCAGCTACCGCCTTTCCACTTTTAAATAGCTCGCGGCCTTTCAGGCCGCGAGCCCTGCGTCCGATGAAGCTGTAAGAACCGCATAGGTTAACAGCGTTAACATCACAGAAAATAGTTAAAAAAATTAGTTTATATCGGTGTTGACGTCGTCTATATAGAGACGAGTGTTTAATTTTCTACATTTCTAGAATTTTATTATTACGTATTAACGACAATGTCTGGACGTGGTAAAGGCGGTAAAGTGAAGGGAAAGGCAAAGTCCCGTTCGAATCGTGCCGGTCTACAATTCCCCGTTGGACGTATTCACAGGCTGCTGCGAAAGGGAAATTATGCAGAGCGTGTGGGTGCCGGCGCTCCGGTGTACCTGGCCGCAGTCATGGAGTACCTCGCCGCTGAAGTTCTAGAGTTGGCCGGTAACGCTGCTCGGGACAATAAGAAGACCAGAATCATACCGAGACATCTTCAGCTTGCCATCCGCAACGATGAAGAGTTGAACAAGCTCCTCTCCGGTGTGACGATCGCCCAGGGCGGTGTACTACCCAACATTCAGGCGGTCCTTCTTCCCAAGAAGACCGAGAAGAAGGCCTAAACGAGTGTGTACACTACTCCCGTCGCATTACTACACCACACCACTAGGCCCAAGAAAATGGTTGAGAACTTTAGACGAGAGTATGCGTCGACGTTTTATCGATCGGTAATGCCCTAATTGTACTATATACGTATTGCATATTCTGTTTTACGCTCTTTAGTATAATAATGGTGCATTCGCCGTCCGTCGACTCGTGTCTCTACTGCTCTATTGTTATCTACCGTTCGTGGTGGTTGGTACGTGATTAAAAGGCCCTTTTGAGGGCCACAAATACTATCGATAATTTATAAATTTAGTCTCTTAGAATGCGAACGTTCTTTAAAGCCTCTTTCCTCAGTTCCTCCTATACTATACCTTATTCCTTTTTGTACGCTATTACTTTCTATTGGTAATGGTAACGATAAGACGAAAGCCATATTTATTATGAATTAATAATAATCAATAGACTAAAAGGTAAAAAAAAAAAAAAAAAAAATATTTTTTTTTTTTTTTTAAGAGAAACATATATAAATACTTACCGTTCAACATATTATGTAGTAAAAATCTCTTATGAACTTCACCGTTGCCGTTGGCTTTAGATGGATTAGAGGATTGCCTCGCCGCGATAAATGGACTCAATGTATTATGTTAATTATAAATTTACATGCATTATTAAAACATTATCAGTAGTTATTTTATTATTATAAAATATTCGATAATGATTTATTTTATTAAAATAATTGGGTATTAGTATAATTATATATTACTTATATTGGAATGTTTAATAAAATAAAATTTGCGTTCTTTCTAAACTAATCTTCCGCCCGTATCCCCTACTCTCTACCCTACCCCTTCCATTTGTCCGGGCAAACTGGTCGTTGATTGGTTGATCTACACTCGATACGCTCGTTAGACCACTAGCTAGTAGAGTCACCGTGATAGTCGTTATATAAGAAAAAAAAAATTTTGTGTTGTTCAGTGATAATTTAGTATTATCCGTGATCACATTTACATTAAATATTCTTCAAGATGCCGCCGAAAACTAGTGGTAAAGCCGCCAAGAAGTCTGGTAAGGCACAGAAAAACATCTCGAAGTCGGATAAGAAGAAGAAGAAGCACAAGAGGAAGGAGAGTTACGCCATCTACATCTACAAGGTGCTCAAGCAGGTGCATCCCGATACTGGTATATCCAGTAAAGCGATGTCCATAATGAACTCTTTCGTTAACGACATCTTCGAACGCATAGCCGCAGAGGCCTCGCGCTTGGCTCATTACAACAAGCGTTCGACTATTACTTCACGGGAAGTGCAGACCTCCGTGAGACTGCTGTTGCCCGGTGAACTCGCCAAGCACGCCGTGTCAGAGGGCACCAAGGCAGTCACCAAATACACCAGCTCCAAGTAAGGTCGGTGATTGGTGTGTGTTTTAGGTGTATTTCAAAGGCCCTTTTCAGGGCCACAAAATATATCGTATTACTATCCGTTTCTCATAATAACGTCACCCTACATTTCGCTCGTTCGTCCGCTACGCTAAGAGTATTTATTCTTTTATAGATATACCTCGCATGCAAATGTACAATTTTAAAATACTTACATACAACTAATACATAAAAGGATACGAAAAAAAATAAAAAATAATAATAATAATAATAAAGGGATCTTATTTGAAATTACGTAAAATAAATTTAGAATAGTCTACTTAATAACTAGAAATCTGCTATAATACGCGCCTATGAGAGCTTAATAACTATTAGATATAATTATAACCTACAATTTAAGACACAAACGATATTTTTATTACAAGGAGTATATTTTGAGCAAGATATTAGTGATTTCATATGAAATTAAGACCTCGAGGGTTCTCTATAATGCAAATATCATAATATTGTATATTATTATTATTATTTAAAAGTTTTTAATACGAATGCTTGGTCTACCCGATATTCACGATGAAGTAAAAACGGAGAGGGGGGGGGGGAGGGGGGGGGAGGAAAAGAGATGGGTAGAGAAGTCTCGCCTGTAACCGCACATTTGTCGACCATATAAAAGCGTCGCCACTCGCGACGATTTCACAATCATCATTCCGCCTGTGGCACCGCTCTCGAGCGGTCGTGTCCAGGTAGTCCGCGCATCCGTCCCCGTACGGTAGTGCTCTCTCGCTCTCGCGCCTCCGCTGTCCTGCTCGCGCTTACAGCGTCGACGCCTTGGTGAGTCATTTTACGCTAACTCCAGTTATTACCTCCCTGTCTCCGGGCGGGGCGGTTTGACTGTTGGTCTTGCTTGTTATTGTTATTTTTATTGTTAATTCTTTTGTTAACTATTTCTAATTTTGTTTTCGTTATTTATTTGTATAACGTGTACGTGTATATACTGTTTCTAGGGAGTTACTTGCTCTTTTCAGAGCAAGGCCCTGCTCTTTTGAGAGCAGGGGCACTTACTCCTAGAATTAATAACGTCCCGTTCTTCTCAGAACGGTGATCCCGCCCTTACTGTTTAGGTACTCGTCTCTGTTCTTTTCAGAACAGCACCCACTAGCCCCTTCCGTATCAAATACGTTTCGTAAAACTACTGCCCTCAACATGTCCACAATTACCCAAATTAAGTCCCTCGTCGCCGCCCTAAACCAAACTCTTGGTCTGGGCCTAAACCTCGATGAGACGGCCCTTGCCGCCATCGCCGCCCATGTTACTCCCCCTGCCCGTCAGGCACTCCAACCGCCGCCCGTACTTGCGGCCTACCTAGAGACAAAGAACTCTTTCGCCCCATTAGAAATGGAGTACGCATGCTCCGAGTCCTCTGCATCGGCCTCCCGGAAGAGGCCCGCCACCAATTCTGGCACCGGCTCATCGGAGTCCTGTGACTCCGACGGAACCGGGGATTCTTCGTTCACCACGGTGAACTCCAAGCGCAACGGTAAACGCGCCGCTAAAAACCGCACCCTCCCTGTCTCGGCGGCCCCTGCCGCTCCTTCAACCTCCGCAGCTCCCGCTGCCGCCTCTGCCCCCGCAGCCCCCGCCGCTGCCTCAGCCCCACTTATGTCACTAGACATTCCCGCTCCGACCAAGCCAGCCTCTCGCTGTGCTCCAGTCCTTGCCAAGAAGCAAGTCCCGCCCCCTGTCTTCCTAAGAGACAAGGCTAAATTCACAGAACTCTCCAAAACCTGCTACAACGCAGGCATAAAATATGACCACGCCATCAACCTCGGGGAGGCTATTAAGATCATCCCCCAATCAATCGACGACTTCCGGCGACTCACCAGGCTATTCACAGCCGAACGAGTTTCTTATCATACATACGCTCTTCCGGAAGAGCGCAAAGTCAGGGCCGTCATCCGCGGCGTCCCCTTCGAATTTTCAAACGAAGAAATCCTTGAGGACCTTAAGTCCCAAGGTTTCCCCGTAGAAGCCGTGCACAAAATGCACAGTAGAACAGGCCAGAGGTTCTCTCTTGCCCTAGTAATTTTAACCAACGTGCCGGAGGCGAAAGCCATCTTCCGGCAGGTACGCACAGTGTGCGGCCTGTCGAGAGTGAGGGTTGAGCCTCCACATAGGCGCGGGTTCCCGGCGCAGTGCCACCGCTGCCAGCTATATGGTCATGCGGCGGCCAACTGCTCCGCCCCACCCAGGTGCGTTAAGTGCCTTGAACCCCACAACACTAAAGAGTGTCCTCGGCCCAAAGACGCCGAATCCCCACCCGCGTGTGTCCTGTGTAAACAAACGGGCCACCCGGCTAACTACAGAGGCTGCCCTTGCGCACCTCATCCTCGCCCCAGTAGGCAAGCTCCACCGCCGGTCAATGACCGCTCATTCCCGGCTCTTTACCAACGGATGCCCCGTCAGGGCCTTTCACAGCCCACCCAGGGCTTCACTCGACCCTCTCAGGGTCCTCCTAGGCCCCCTCAGGGCACTATTCGGCCCCCTCCGGGCTTCTCTCAGCCTATGCAGCCTCCAGTTTTTCCCTGGGGCCCCAAAAAGGCAGTACCACCGCGGACATCCTCCGCCCCTCAACCACAACAATCACAGCCCTCAATGGCTGATGACCTAAAAACGGTGTATTCCGCAATTAGGAACATCAACGTTGAGGAAATCGCTGTGTTAGCACGCAAATTGCGCGCTGCGAGGTCCCCTCAGGACCGTCTCCTCGCTCTTGCAGAGCATCATAATCTTTTGTGCTCATTGTAAGTTAAGTTAACTTAATTAACTTAACTCACAATGACAGAGCAGGTTGCTCTACCAAAATCCCACGGTCGTATCAAACCTAAGGGTTTATCGCTTGTATCCTTTAACATTCGCGGTTTGCGAAATAACCTCCCAGAGCTTAAGCTCTTTCTTCAAAATCGTGAAACCGATTTCCTCCTCCTACAGGAAACTAATCTCAATACTAAGGACACTAAAGGCCTTTCCATCAAAAACTTCTCTCTTCTTCGTAATGATAGACCCGACCGCCGAGGCGGCGGTACGGCCATTTATTACAAGAAGACACTCCACTGTTCTCCCATTTCTACTCCGCAACTTTCCAACATGGAAGCCACGGTATGCAGGCTAGCTATGACTGGACATCAGTCCATCTTCATAGCCTCCTGTTACATCCCTTCTAAAACCCTTCCCCTCAAAAAAGATTTTGAGGCTATTTTATCTCTAGGCAATTCAGTCATTATGTTTGGAGATTTTAACTCCAAGCATACTGAATGGACATGCCGTACTACCACCCGTAGTGGCAAGTTACTGCTCGATATCACGCAGTCTCTTGATATTACCGTCCACAGTCCTCTCGGTGTTACTCACTTTCCCGATAACACCGACTATGCCCCAGATGTACTAGATTTTGCGTTACTCAAAGGAGTTTCTCTCAACCTTAGGGCAATCGAGACACTAGATGATCTAGGATCCGACCACCGACCGGTCTCTCTCATTCTTGGCCATCAGCCACCACTCCCAACACCCTCTACTAAAACCTTCACAAATTGGAAGGGCTTCAAGGAGTCCCTAGCGAAAGCTCTGGACTCACAGGACTCCCCCATCT